ATCTGTGGCGGGAGTTGAAAGTCCGTGTTGCTCGGCGACAGCCCCAAAACATCACTGCTCTCGAGAAGATCTGCATGGAGGAATGGGCCAAAATACCAGCTACTGTGTGTGCAAACCTGGTAAAGACCTATAGTAAACGTTTGACCTCTGTTATTGCCAACAAAGGTTATGTTACAAAGTATTGAGTTGTATTTTTGTTATTGACCAAATACTTATTTTCCACCCTGATTTACGAATAAATTCTTTACAAATCCTACCATGTGGATTCATGGATTTTTTTTTCACATTCTGTCTCTCACAGTTGAAGTGTACCTCTGGTGCAAATTACTGACCTCTGTCATCATTTTAGGTGGGGGAACTTGCACAATCGGTGGCTGACTAAATACTTTTTTGCCCCACTGTATACAGAGGTTTCATGAATGAAATACGTAGCAAACTAGTGACTTTAAAGTTATGGTTTTCTTCTGAAGTTCAAAGAATTTCACAGAAAGATAAACAAGCATACAAAACCTCTCAGTGCAGGAAGTCAGACTCATGACAGTAGACTCGTTATCAGCAAGGAGATGAAAAATAAGCTCTCTCACCTTGTTGTTACACAAACCAGTTCCTGTCTGCAGAAAAACAAAAAACAAAAGAAAAAATCTTGATTTCTGAATGAGCTCATATTTTCACATAAACTACATGAAATGTAATCATATAAACAGTAATAGTCCCTTAATATTAGATTTTAAATCAGTCAGAGAAAACACATTCTTCAGTGTTTTGCTATCACACAGCAGTCTCTAAATCACTGATAAAACATGTTAGTGCAGGTCCACAGCGTGTTCGGAAGCACTCGCTGGCATTTAGACTCCCGACTCTTCGTAAAGATTATGGACCGTAGACTTAATGAAGCGTTGGAACAAGTTGATACCAGTCTTGAGGACTGGACAGTGCATATTTTAAAGAGTTAGATTGGTCATTTTATAACAGCATAATGACTTTAATCTGATCAGGACGAAGTAAGTATGTTTTTGGTTTTGTCTCGTTTCAGGTGAGTGTATCAGTGGTTTGGGTGGCTGAGCCTCCTCCACCAGTGCCAGGCTGGGTAGTGGCTCTGGCTGTGCTGGCAGGACTGCTGCTGCTGGCGCTGCTTATCTTCATCATGTACAAGGTAGTAAACATGTCCATTGTCACTGTTCTTGTGCTGCTTTTTTCCTTTTTCCTAAGCTTCTGTAGTTTTACACTGAGACGTGTGTTCAGACATTGCTCTTCTGTGTCAGATTAATGGCTGAAACACCACTTTCACTACCAAATATAACCGACTCTTGTGCCCTCTTTTCTTCTTCTTCTCCTGTGCAGTTGGGTTTCTTTAAGAGAGTCCGCCCCCCACAGGAGGACTGCATTGAAAAGGAGCAGCTGCAGCCGGAGGAGAACGGAAACACTGATGCCTAGATGTCAAACTGTGAGGGACTGATGGCAAATCTGTAGGGGGTGGGAAGAAATCAGGGTAAAAAGGCCTCTGAGAGCATTTCACTGTATTGACTGTTGGATGGCAGATAATGATATGATTTAAGATTTAATGTGCTGGTTTTATTTTTATTTTGTTTAAAAAAAAAATGTCAACATGTATTTGTGCCAAAAGAGAATCTGGAAAACATTGATCAAACAAAATCCACAAAGTTTAGTGTTAAAGGAGCAGTTCGACGTTTCCTGAGAAGCTGCATCACAGTGTGTCCGTGATGTCTGAACGACGCTGATGTTACGAACTGCAGATGTTTTGTGAGTTCACACATACATTTGTTTAATTTGTGAGAGTTGCATGATCAGATTGCCTGCTTTAAAAATATAAAGCTACAGCTTGATTAGCTTACCTTAACATGGGACTGGGAACAAAGAAAATTCACCTCATCTTTTCACATGAATGATATTAAAAATCACAACTCTTAAGTATTATATAAACATTTAATAAATGTTTTTTGTTCCCTAAAATCATTATTGATAAAATGTGTCAAAATGCTTTTACAAACTAGCTGTGAGAGCTAGCAAGTCGATCTCTTGTATTGTATTCAACATTTGAAAAATGCAGAATTTCATATTTACAATTCAAGCATTAAAAATTAAACAAGCTAGAGCATATTAGTGAACATTAAAGCTGCCAGGCAGATCTTGTTACCTCTTCACAGGACCACGCTAGCTGTTCCCTAGCCAAGCTAATCCACTGCAGTTTCATATTTAATATTCAAACACAAGCCTGTTGTCATTCTGAACATGTCCTAAACCGTTGAGCTATTCCTTTAACAAATCGAGAAACTTAATGGTTTTGTTCCAGCAGGCAGTTGAAATCAAAATTACAGTTTTCCAGAAGTTATAAGAAGCATAAACCACCTTAATTTTCACATTTTCCATCCAAACACAAATTCAGCAATGAGATAAACAGCCTTGTTGTTATGTTACACTTAAGTCATTGTTTTAGAGTTTCTAAGAGCAGTTAATTATTAATACAGCCAGTGATTATTATTGTATTGTATTAAAGAATACCACAGACTGAATCAGTGGAGTTTAAATCAGCAAAGGTGCTCTATAAAAACACATCCCAGCTGAGACACAAGAAGCGTAAAACACCACAAACACAATAGCCAACTGATCCAAGCAGAGCATAAACAAATAACACGTATGTCACAGTGATGTGCCATATTATCTTAGTATGGACTCAAATTGTTACTACGCAAAACAAGTGTTTGTTTCATATGTGAGAGTATCGGCCGATATATTGAATTTTTATCAGTCGGGTTCCACTTGGAATTTAGTAAATGTTTTTTTTTCTTTTTGTTTTAGTGACGTGATTAATTTTGATCAACCAGCAATGTAAAAACAAACAAAAACAAGCAATACGGTAACTGAAGCAGCTAGTTAGCTGCATTCAGGTCTTTTTAGATGTTTCAGTAAAACTGGTTTATCTGCTGTATCATGGGATGATGGGAAGCTCACAATAATATATTTGCCCTTATGTACACTTGTTTTTTCTCTTCCTGCTTTGTGTGTGGGGTAGCTGATCTGCATTTCTCTTGTATGAGTTTGCTTTGGGATGTTGGTGGTTGTTTCCTTTGTATTTTGTACACAACATTAATTAGAGTTTTAGAAGTTTGTCCAACTTTTTTCAACACAATCAAGAAAATGTTTGGCCAAATGTAATTTTGTTTGTGCAGAAAATGGTTGAAAATCATTTTAAGTTCTGTCTGATTAGTCAGTCCACAGAAGCCTCATATCTCGCATCATTATGTTGAAGCTATGTTGTGTCTCTGCAAGCAAAGAGCTGTAACTGGCTGAGAAAATGTTTCAGGCTGTATGGAAACCGGTCTATATTTGCCATACATTAAATGAACAATTTCAGTTATTTTTCAAGTGTATAGATAAACTTAGAAAAAAAATTAGGATTTTTTTTTTTATTTTTAACCTGACCAATTGATGAAAGTATTAAAGTATTTAAGACATTACACATTTTAATGTTTAAGATTTGTCAACATGTGTAAATACCTTCAGTCAGTGGCTAGAGCAACAGCAATAGTAACTATGGGGGTGGAGCTTAACAGACTATTAGTAATTCTAACCTGGCAAAGTACGGGCTGTTTTAGTGTTAGTGAGCTGCGACTTGAGTGTTGACCAGTGTGTGTTGACATGATGACTTGGATTGGATTGTGTATTTGCAAGCATGTGATTGGTTCATGTTTCATTACGTCATTGTAATCACTAGTTGAGGCCCGTTCAGCTCACACAGCAGCAAGCATAGAGTTTTATTGTGTAGTTTTAAATCACAAACTTCTTTTTAAAAAGACTTGTAGTCCTTTTCACTGAATTGGTTGTGACAGTTTTTCCTGCACTGAGGCCTTTTGGATTTCTACTTATTTACATTCAGATTTCAGACTGGCAGCTTTGCTGGGAACAAGTTAAAACAAACGCAGGTTTCTACTTTGTGTTTTGAGTATATGATTGCTCTAATACTTAAGAAAAAAAGAAAGAAAAAATACTTTGCTATTTACCCATATTGGGTTCGCATTATAAATTAATGTTTATAGCTGATTATAGGTTTACAAATATAATAATGCAGGTAACATTCATCATAAAATAACAGGAAGACTTTAATAAGCACATTATACATCATTGTTTTCTTTCAGTGGCATCTTAACCAATACTTTGAACCAACTTGTCCTACTTGAGCAAAGAGTTGTGTGTTTGTGTCGGACGGCACTTCTTAACAAATGAGTGATTTTGGTATGAGGATTGATCTTAGGTCAGTGCTCTCATGCGGGAGATAAACTGAGCGGCTTCACTGCACTGTTCATTTTTTCTATAAAGGTTTTCTAAGGTTGATTGTGTGTAAATTAGACCAAAACAGCATGTTTCTCTTTGCCAGGAGTGAGTTGGACAGAAATCTGTTCATTTCAGTATCAGTCATTTCAAATTACTCAGAAAAGCTGCAAATCGCTAAAACATTTATTTCTGTCCTAACATCTTTGATATGACCTTATTGTCAGCACCGTTGTCCTGAGCGATGATGCAAAAGCCTTTGGTGAGTAGAGGAGTTTGTGTTAAATATGGAGGAATAATAAAAAAAAAAACAAAGCCTCCTGGCAGATACGAGTGATTTGCAGCCAGTCATTTGTATTTAATATTGCTCCGTGTTTCTTTCTGCCCTAAGAAAATATTGACTATTTTTGATGTATGTATTCTTTCACATAGAGAATAAAACAATGATTTCATAAAGAGATGATTTTACCTTTAAACTAAAATAAACTGATTTGTTCACATCTGTTCAGTGTTTTGTGGTGATCTCTTCTTTTTAAACCAGGCAGCCTTTTACAAATGTATATACGAATATTGCATTTAAATCACATCACCATGTGTAAATTGGAGGGAATTTGTACTTTACAGACTTAATGGTCAATTTTTGTTTTAATTTATTCAGGTTTTTGCACAAGTTGCTAAAAAAAATATTAGATTAACTTTACTGGAGAGACACATTAGATGTTTCCTTAAAATCTTTATTCTGTTCCAATCAGAAACATTGAAAACTCTGTGCTCCTCGTCTTGCTTCCATTTGACCGATCATTGTGCATCAGTTAGCAGGAAGCTAAGGTCACTGCCTGGCTCATACTCCACTGTGGGCTTTTTCCTGAAACACATAATTATACACAAAAAAGAAAGCATTTATAAAAATCCTGCTGATATTTTCTGGTCACTGGAATAACTCAACTTGTTTCGCGTTCTCAAATTGTGTGTTTGTCCTACTGATGATGTACACACCCTGGTTACACAGCCACATTGCCGGGATGCTGTTTAGATTTAGTTAAGAACATGTTAACATTAAACTAATTTTGTTTTAGTGTAAGGCTAATAAAGGCTACAGTCAATTAGAAAGGAGATTGGATAAGTCAGTGTGATGTCATCTCAAGTCATGAAAACTTAAAGTGTGTGTTACCTGGTGAATAGTCTGGCCTTAGTGGTTCCCAGCAGTGTCGCTTTGTTTCCCTCCACTAGCAGCAGGGAGCCCTCCCTCAGACCCTGACAACAAACAAAAAAGACGGTAATTTTCTAATGAAGCCGCTTCATCTTCTCGGCATGAAAGATTTGAGCACTATTACATGTATGCAGGTCTGCTTCCCCTCACTTACCAGGACACACGGAGTATCGGGTTCTTCGTGGTACTGGATGATCCTCTGCTCTCTGGTTTCCTACATGAAAACAAGATTCAAGATTGTAAGCACAGTGGAAACAGTGGAGGCTGAAACCACAGCTAAAATATAACTATTGATGTGACAAAATGTTCAAAATAACCTCGTCATTCACTCTTCTTTTTAACAAAAAATAAGGACAACTGCTTATTGGTGACAAACTGTCCTCAGTTAATTCAGCAAGTGTATTTTAATAACAGCATTCCTGTTTTGCTGAATACCTGCTGCTGTGACCACATTACAATGACAGAAGAAACCCAAACCAAAGGGGAAACTCGGGGTTTAGTATCTTACATGGACGACTAGAGGACTAGAGGAGCTGGGAATTGAACCGCTGACCTTCCAAACAGATGACCCAGTGTACCTCCTAAACCACAGTTGCTCATGTCTGTTCAGCTAAATACTGCTCCCAAATGTGTGATGATATTAAAATAAATTATAAACATAAATAAAAACTAAAATATTTAAAGATACAAATCTAGGTTTATTAACATTTGTCACTGTTGCAATCACCAAGAGTGACCACCAGGGGTCGGTGGACACAGCAATATATCTTTCAGAAAATAAATTTGTGCTTTATCGACGCAAATATTTTTATGAAGTGATTGTTTTTCCTTTGTGATTCTTCTCACAGCTGTTTATTAACAAATGCTAACAACTGCTTGTCAATGTAAATCATTTTTCCAGCACAAAATGCAATTATTCTTCAGTTCTTTTCTAGTGTCAGGATTTGGATTTTGTTATGTTTTGTTTTGGTTTTCTTCTTCTTCTATATCATTACAGCATCAGAATCATTTCACTATGAAATGTATGCAATAACAAAACTCATACTCCAGACTTCACCTTACCCTCTGACAGCTTGCACTGAGCAAACCTTTCCTGTTTTCTGACACTTTTACCATCTGAACAAGAAATGATGAAAACCACCCTTCCATGAACGAAATTTACACCACAGGAACGTTTTTTAAACCATTTAAGAATAATTATATACAGAAATAATTTGGCAGAAATCTGAGAAGTTCGTGTTCTCCCTTAAGCTGGACACCAGATGCTTGCTGCCACGCCCTGTAGGTAGTGCAACTGCTACCCCATGGCCTGGCTCTATGAATTCAGTGTTTCACAACCCTCAAACTAAACATTGCATGTCATCACATTGGTCAGAGCTACCCTAAATCGCTTTGCTGACACTGCAGCTTTTTTTGTCAGCTGTTGCAGTTTTACAGGTCCGAGTGTTGCATAATTTCCTCAGGCTGTTTTATCACGTGTTAGCTGAAACTCATGTCAGTCAAACCTTCTGCAAATCATCTGTCCCTTCATGCAGATTGTTTATAGACCCTTAAGGTCTAGAATGCATCCAGTTTAGGCTGGAGTCCAGTCTTGGTTATTTCCTACTGTGTCTCCATTCGTTTCTGCAGAGATACTTAATATGACCACAAAATGCAGGTAGTGCATAATCATTTATTAAAAAGATTCCCACTGGTGTTATCGTCTTTCTCCTAACTATCATTTTGTGGCATGAAGTTATTAAGTAATAAAGTGCAGATATATCCATTCATCTTCTACGGTCCAGGTCAGAGGGGCTGCGGTCTCAGCAGAGAAGCCCAAAGCTCCCTCTACTCACCCACCTCATCCACCTCGTCCCAGGGAGACACGGAGGTGTTCCGAAGTCGAGAGATATAATCTCTCCAGTGTGTCCTGTGTTTGCCCTTGGCTCTTCCTGGTAGGACATGTTTGTTATACGTCATCTTGGAGGCATCCTAATCAGATTCCTGTACCACCTTAATTGTCTCCTTTCAAAGTGGACGAGCAGTTGATCTACTACTGCAGATTTACTGAGGTCCAAATTCACTCAGTGTAAGGCGACATCCTTTTAAAGCCGAGCGAAAAAGCTCTTTATTCCAAACCTCCATGGCACTTTCACCGTTTCACTGTTGGAGCTGTTTCAACAGCTTAATTATTTTATTTACATATTACTCATAGTGCAAACATGTTGTTGCTTTGTCGCTTCCAAACATATCTGCTTATTTTTGAGCAGAGGGCAGCAATAAAGCAATGTTAGAGTGTTACTTATAACACTGATACGGCATACAAGCGACAGCTCAGTGCAGTAATCATTTTCTTATATCTGTCAACCAACTAGCAAAACAAAGACTCCTACATCATTTTTCACTGATGATTTTTAACCTCGGGCTCGTAGCAGTTCGGAATTTTGAGTAGTTGTAATACTCCCAGTATCTCTGATCAGTTTCATTTACAGTGGGGCAAAAAAGTATTTAGTCAGCCACCGATTGTGCAAGTTCCCCCACCTAAAATGATGACAGAGGTCAGTAATTTGCACCAGAGGTACACTTCAACTGTGAGAGACAGAATGTGAAAAAAAAAATCCATGAATCCACATGGTAGGATTTGTAAAGAATTTATTCGTAAATCAGGGTGGAAAATAAGTATTTGGTCAATAACAAAAATACAACTCAATACTTTGTAACATAACCTTTGTTGGCAATAACAGAGGTCAAACGTTTACTATAGGTCTTTACCAGGTTTGCACACACAGTAGCTGGTATTTTGGCCCATTCCTCCATGCAGATCTTCTCGAGAGCAGTGATGTTTTGGGGCTGTCGCCGAGCAACACGGACTTTCAACTCCCGCCACAGATTTTCTATGGGGTTGAGGTCTGGAGACTGGCTAGGCCACTCCAGGACTTTCAAATGCTTCTTACGGAGCCACTCCTTTGTTGCCCGGGCGGTGTGTTTTGGATCATTGTCATGTTGGAAGACCCAGCCTCGTTTCATCTTCAAAGTTCTCACTGATGGAAGGAGGTTTTGGCTCAAAATCTCACGATACATGGCCCCATTCATTCTGTCCTTAACACGGATCAGTCGTCCTGTCCCCTTGGCAGAAAAACAGCCCCATAGCATGATGTTTCCACCCCCATGCTTCACAGTAGGTATGGTGTTCTTGGGATGCAACTCAGTATTCTTCGTCCTCCAAACACGACGAGTTGAGTTTATACCAAAAAGTTCTACTTTGGTTTCATCTGACCACATGACATTCTCCCAATCCTCTGCTGTATCATCCATGTGCTCTCTGGCAAACTTCAGACGGGCCTGGACATGCACTGGCTTCAGCAGCGGAACACGTCTGGCACTGCGGGATTTGATTCCCTGCCGTTGTAGTGTGTTACTGATGGTGACCTTTGTTACTTTGGTCCCAGCTCTCTGCAGGTCATTCACCAGGTCCCCCCGTGTGGTTCTGGGATCTTTGCTCACCGTTCTCATGATCATTTTGACCCCACGGGATGAGATCTTGCGTGGAGCCCCAGATCGAGGGAGATTATCAGTGGTCTTGTATGTCTTCCATTTTCTGATGATTGCTCCCACAGTTGATTTTTTCACACCAAGCTGCTTGCCTATTGTAGATTCACTCTTCCCAGTCTGGTGCAGGTCTACAATACTTTTCCTGGTGTCCTTCGAAAGCTCTTTGGTCTTGGCCATGGCGGAGTTTGGAGTCTGACTGTTTGAGGCTGTGGACAGGTGTCTTTTATACAGATGATGAGTTCAAACAGGTGCCATTCATACAGGTAACGAGTGGGGGACAGAAAAGCTTCTTACAGAAGACGTTACAGGTCTGTGAGAGCCAGAGATTTTCCTTGTTTGAGGTGACCAAATACTTATTTTCCACCCTGATTTACGAATAAATTCTTTACAAATCCTACCATGTGAATTCATGGATTTTTTTTTCACATTCTGTCTCTCACAGTTGAAGTGTACCTCTGGTGCAAATTACTGACCTCTGTCATCATTTTAAGTGGGGGAACTTGCACAATCGGTGGCTGACTAAATACTTTTTTGCCCCACTGTAGCTGTATATTAGTGAAGGCTTAGCAGTGGACTGTGGCTGGAGTGTCTGCAGCAAGAATTTCAGCTTCATCTAGCAGCAGTGTAAAGCAACAGAAAATAGAAATCCTCAAAAACAAGCATCCAAAGCTCTACTTGTTATAAAATATATAGTTATTTCCAGCTCTGACAATCAGTAACTCTTTAGATGATTATTTGCAGAGTCTAGACTAATCAGCAACAGCAACCTCAGGCTGTGCGACTCACCCCCATGTGGCGGCTGGTGCGGTCGGCGTCCAGGTAGTGCGGGTTGATGTTGAAGGGGACGAGGCCAATGGCAGAGAAGGACGGAGGGAAAACAATGGGCATGTCATTAGTGGTACTGATGCTGATGGTGGCCACATTAGTGCCTGCACTGGAGCCCATGTAGGGGACACCATCCTGGGCAAGGATTTAAAGAATGTGGGAGTAAAGAAAAGGGAGACAAGAAGTAGTCATACTACTTAACTAAGAGCACACAGGAATCATTGGTTTAATTTCTTTTTAATAATCAAGACAGAATTTTTCTGCAATTATTTTTTAAAGAATCTAATCGATTTGGTCTGTTGTTTATGTGCATATTCATATAAAATGTGCACATAACTCCCCCAAATCTATTAAATTTATTTAAAACCTTCATAAGACAATAGTATATGTTTTTATAAAACATACACAAAATTATATTGAAATGGAATATTTTTAATAAAAAATAACATCTATCAATCTATATATATAACCATTTGTAAAAATGTTACATTTTGCAATTATAAAGTATTTTGTTTGTTTGCTGTCTTGCTTTGTTCCAGTAAATATTTTTGGATTAAATATACCTCCATCACTCTCTTCCTGATCTCCATCACCACCTTGTTGTCATAAAGACTCTTCAGCAGCCGGAAAGTGTTGCCTCCACCTACAAACAAAAGCCTCTTTTAGCATCCCCATACTGCAGATTGGGTAAAGGTTAGACGGTAATGTAGAATAGGAGTAAGAGAAAAAGTGTGAAATCCCTGAAGAAATTCCAAGAGCTGTTGCTTTCCTCAGATCTTCCTCACCTATAAAAATGCCCTCGGCCTTCCGGACAGCATCTGCAGGGTCTGAGGCCTCGTGGATGCTGTCCACCTCATAACCTGCAGAAGACAAATGCTCTTATGACATGTAGGATTTGACTGAATTACATCTAGCAAAGCATGTCCTGTAAACTATCGTATGCACTGAAATAGAAAACAAAAACAAATACTGAAAGAATGCAGAAAAAAAGGAGAAAACACCAAAATAATAATGGATTGCATTTATATAGCGCTTTTTGAGACCCTCAAAGTGCTTTACAATACCACTATTCATTCACTCTCACATTCACACACTGGTGGAGGCAAGCTACAGGTGTAGCCACAGCTGCCCTGGGGCACACTGACAGAAGCGAGGCTGCCATATCGCACCATCGACCCCTCTGGCCATCACCAGTAGGTGAAGTGTCTTGCCCAAGGACACAACGACCAAGACTGTCCGAGCCGGGGCTCAAACCGGCAACCTTCCGATTACAAGACGAACACCCAACTCTTGAGCCACAATCGCCCCTGGACTGTGGCTCAAGATAAACCAAATACACTGACTTACATCAACAAGATGCACAGAAAACACAAGGAAATACACAGAATACACTAGAATATATAGGAGAAACTGCACAGAAAATACAGGGGAAAATTCATTTCAAAATACCATAAAGCATAACACCTTAAACATGTGAATCACCCATAAATTATTACTATACTATGGAGGAGCGGTCTGTGTGTCTCAGTGATTCCATCGGCTATGATGTCCTATGGACTTGCCCCAGGTAGGGTCTCTTGTTGGACAGGGTTACCGGGACCACACCCTGCAGCATGACCTGGAAGGGAGGTAGAGCATCTGATTGCTGGGCCTTAGCACATGTGGTCCAGACAGGCACAGCTCAAAAAGGCAAATTGAGCCCATCTACTTGTTTGCTCAAAGAGACAGAGGCCTTCTACTTTGGTGCTTTCTGCTTTCCGCAGTTGATGTGATCCTGTTGGCTTCATTGGTGGGTCCAAGTCGTCTGAAGCCAGGGTTCTGAGAAGGAAAAGGATTGAGTTCCCACTCCGAGTTAGAGACTTGCTATCCCAAGTGGATGAGTTCAAGTATGACTGTGACTTGTTCCCAAGATAGGGAAGTGGATACACTGGATTAATTACATCTCTTGCCTGGCCTGGGAATGCCATGGTGTTCCCCGACATCAGCTACAAGCAGTTGCTGGACTTCTGTGCTTTTGCTGCTACTGTCAATGACCCGGCCCCAGATAAGTGGCAAAAATGTATAGATGGATATACAGAAAAATTCCTAGAAACACTGAAAACTGTGCTTTCCAAAACAAAATATAGAATATATACACACCCTCAAATATTAAAGTAAGAGAAAAATATAGAACACAACTCTTAAATAAATGTATGTTTTATTAAACATGAACACAAAGGAATATAATTACTTAAGGCTTTATAAATATGAAACTAACAAGCAGGTGTACAGTATGAGACTCAAAAATAATCTGTTACATGAACCTACCAAGAGTCTTAAACTTGTCCCTGGCTAACTTAGTGTAGGCGTCTCTATCATGGAGAGCATAAGGAACAAACAGCACCCTCTTCACGTCTCTGAAATACATACAAACAGATTCATGATAAACACCAGACAGGCCGTCAGGAGTCCTACCTCAAGGCCAGTCGTGAATGTCTGCACACTAAACTTAAAAAGATTTCATTCTAAGGATTTTCGCTGCCCTCTGTCCATAACTTTACAGTATTACATTGATGCTGAGCAGCAGAGCTAAGAATATTTATTGGGTACTCTATATAATTACATTTTATTAGTTTCATGGGTTTTCAAACACAAGTTGTGTTTACCATTAAATACAACCTTATGAACAGATTAAAAGGGCAGCATAATTTGAATTTCATACATATGAGTGGGCAGGCTTATATATGAACCAGAAAACTGTGCCCATTCTTTGCTGTTCTGGTTTTCTACAACATATTTATTTCTGATCAGCTATTCTGATTTCCTTTTCCTTCCAACCCCCCACCCCACTCTGCCACCACCCTGAAAAATTCTGCAAACGCCCCTGCTCGTAGAGGGATTTACAAAGAATCAAATACAAATGCAATTATAATCCACGTTTGCTCAGTAAACTGACAAAATAAAAAAATTAAAACTTTCATTTTTCTTTTACGTCTTTGCATGTCACTTGACTTTGGCCCCACTTCCTGTTTCCTGTCCCCTTTGTCAACTTTCTGGCCCACATATATGAACCGCGGCGCTAACTTACTTTCCAAAGAAGCTGGAGATGTGCTGCTGACAGTGCTCCAGGTAACCACTGCCGTGCAAAGTGGAGTTGGACACCAGCAGGAGTCTCCTCTTCATCTTGGCTCGAATAGAGAAACAGAAGAAAACCCACACAAGTTTCAGTGCGGCGGAGTCCAGAGGTCCGGGGTCACAGTTCAGCTGTGATTAGGCTGATAGCGGCTCCCTGACAGCCCGTAAACCGGCTCTCATCAACTCTGATCCCGCCACGGAAGTTCACCTTGGAGCCGTTTAAAGCTCACAGCAGCATTCACGGTGCAGCACACCGTGTTACTGTCAGAGCCGCTCTGTCCTTTCTACTTTAAACTTACGCTGGATCCAGCTAATACTTTTTATAAGGAGTAGTTGTATTTGATCAATTTTACCACTAGCGGAAACAACACTAGCGCTTCTAGCCAAGTACTTTCAGAATAAACGTACCTCTATTTCGTTCCTCCTCAATTCTGCCAAAATAAAAGCGTCCTTTTTCCTGCAAGTCTATCGTCTAGTTCTAACAAAACAAAAGTCCTCTTCATGGGCTGCTCACAGTCCAGTAAAATCCTTTCAGGGTAGAATTCTCTTTTTCTCCTTTCTCTTGAGTTATGTCAAATTAAAGCCTTGTATTTCCTTTCTGGATTTCCCCAAGTTCATCAGAATATAAGTATTCTGTACTTTTTGTACTACTACTACTTCTTTGTTGGTCTTCCATGGGTCCATTTAGAATAACAGGTGTTCCCTTGGCCTTGCTGTATCCCTCTCCATCTCGTTTCCTGAAAACATGTGTACAAAGTGATTTCTAGATATAAATACAGAAAAAAGGTCATTTGTACTTTCATACAAAATTTATTATCTCAAGCTCAGAAGTTTTCTTCGTTCAGTGACCCAGCCAACAGGAACACAGTAAAAAAAAAAATCTTGTGAAAGTAAGTGATACAAAGTTGTGTCAGCATTTATATGTATTTGCTCACTGAGCCCTCACATCACTGTGGTTTGAGCATAACCTGACTAATGAGCTGGAATAAACCTGTTAGTGCTCACAGTCTCACCCACCGTTTCTTCTTCAGATTGGTTTAATAGAAATGCAAAGTTCTGTGAAGAAACTTTTAAAACTCGAAACTGAGATAATAAAAAATTGAAAAAAAATGGACAAGGATGAACAATGATAAGAAGTAAATAAATAAAATATATTATAATATATAGAACTTACCTAGAATATATTTTCTGAGACTAAGAAAAAAATCATGCAACATAATAAATGCATTACAATGAAAGTTTGATTTTGCTCTATTAAAAAAAGACTGGAAAAATAGTTTCATAAACATTCTTGGTGCTGTTTGGCCAAGAATTTGAATTAAGTAAGTAATCTCACTGCATTTAACAGGCTGTCAAAACAGGACTGATACGTTTGGATTTTTCCTGCTTTTAAATATGTAAAGTGTAAAATTATATCATGAACAATATCAAATCATTTTCTTTGATGCCCATTTATTTTCCTTCTGTAACAATAAGGTAAATGCGAAATATTAAATTAAATTATAATTAATTATAATGAATGCAGTAATAGCAAAACAGTAATAATAATAAAATAAAAGAGCAATAAAAACAACATTTCCTTTTTTCAAAAATAAACTGTTAAAAATAATTACCAAAAATTTACCATTGTTTAAATGCTCATGGACTTAACTGCAAATGAGTACAAATAATAAACACACGATGACACTATGGTCTTTTGTAATTTTTTAAAGAAATTACAAGGAAAAAAATTCTTAATGAAAAAGTGCTTTAATTGTTTGGTTTTAAAATACGTTTTCAAAAAGTATTTACGATGATTTTTGTTTGCGGACTTTTTTGAAAGCAGGACTTTGCTGTAATGGAGTACTTTTACACTGAGTGAATACTGTTTCCACCGCTGTGTGTCACATGTGGAGAAATGAGACACAGAAACAGAGGCAGTAGAAGGGGGCGGGGCCAGCCCACATCTGGATGAAAAACATCTGGGCTCCCTCTCTCTTTCTCTGCGTACATGAGAGGCTCTCCGCTGACACCGGGGGCTGAAGACCGAAGCACCAACACACCGACTGACCGGGGTCCCCTGAGTTTCATCGACTTACTTTGCCGGAAGATGATGGCTCAGTGCTGGACGATTTGGACCGGGATCCTCGTCCTCCTGACTGCCTGTGAGTGCTGCCTGATTTCTGGGCTGTTTCTCTCTTTTCCTCGGAGCTGGAGGGCCGAGCGGAGGGCATGACAGAGAGGAGGGACGTTTTGTTTTGGAAAAGCTACTCAGATCTGTTATCTTGGTTGAAATGACTATACAGCACATGAAGAAATACTCATGTGTTATCAAGTGAGAGTGGAAGATTCATGTAGCAATAAAAGTTGCAACGAAGGTATCAGATTCATGTAGCTTAGTTGCAGTGTCAACAGAGAAGTACACAAATATCATTCATGTAGTTTAGTTTATCAGCTTTGTGTATTGTCAGCAGTCCACAAATGTTATCAGCTCCATCAGCAGATAAGATGCTAAATGTGACTGTCTTCTGATTCAAACGATGGATCCTGAGCCATTAAAGTCTCAGCAGCATTTTCCTGTTTATTCTCTTTTAATCTCTCTCTGATATTCTAAAAGTCCTGAATGAAAAATGTTACCTAAGTAAAACGTAGTCTAAAACATAGTCTTAATTTAAACATATTCATTTAAATGTACTCAGTACAAAGATATGACCCATGTGAATATTACAGATGTTATGTACTCCTGAACATTGTGTTTTACACTATTTTACTCTTGCTGGTTGGAGTGGATTTGATTTATTTCATGTGGGATTCTAAATAATGTCTGCACCATTTCATATTCAAATAAGTTTCTCAACAAATCAGTTCGCTTGACTTCCTGGTTTTTAAAGTCATAATATCAATAATTAAAACTTCAAAAAAGGCGAAATAAGTTGTTAAAATATTTCAAAATAAAAGCATAAAATGGTCAGCAATTTTGTTTTGGCAGTTATCGAAAATATATCTTTTCTATCAACAATCAAATTCCATTTCAGCTTTAGTCTTGTATATATTGTATTTCTTGTTAGACATGGTTCAATCTATAGCAAAACATGCAGTAAAACAGACAGTAACTGCCTTCAAAATGCAGAAATGGATTCTCTTCTTGAGTAAATGTGCTTTCCACCATGGTCATTATGCATGCAGTTCCTGTTAAAGGGCAGCTTATTATCTCATATCTAACAAAGAGTGAGTGTATCTGAAAGTCCTCATGAATGGCTACACACACAGTCACATCTTGGCGCTGTTTAAGACATTGGAGAAGACACAGACTGGCACTAAAAGAAAGAGTGTATTAATGCTTTTGGACACTTTTCTTGTACTTACAGAAGAAATTGAACAGAATACATATTTCAAAAAGATAAATTCCCAAACGAACAACAGTACAAAGGGAGTGCTGAAAAGAATCCACTTATGTGGGGATTTACAGACTTTTGTTTCTTTTGTGCACAAAATAATTCAAATCACATACAGACAGAATGTTAAACTGCATCTGACAACATGCTCCACAAAAAGTTGTCTAAGTCATCAGAGTAAAAAACAAAAAAGGCTGTTGTGTCAAATACAAATATCACTTCATTCACTTCAGTCTGATTTACTGCACATAGTGACAAATACAGCATCTCAAAGATGTCTCAGAGCACCATCCATGCATAAATATCAACTTTTCATTGTTCCAGTCTCTCATACAGCATGAGGTTGTTTTTAAAAAAAATTGTTTTATGATTTTACTCACATTTGAGGAGCTTTTGTTTGCATCCAGATTTACTGCCTGTGTGAAAAGTGAAAAATGCTGAAATGTAGTATTGAACCCGTTGGTATGTTTCTTTAAATTTTAATTCAATGATGGGAATAAAGAACATGAGCAGTACTAGTCCCCAATCATGGAAGGGATTAATAACAAAAAGGAAAAGGTAAAGATTATGACCAAACAATAGCGATAAAAAATAATAATCCAGGCATATGAGGCAGGTTGGAGCAACTTAAAGTAGATCTTTAATTCAGTTGGAAGCAAGCATAAAACAATACTGACTTACAAGCTGATGTGCATGATTTAATTAGTTTATATGAGTCTCTGTTGTAGTCGTTCATTGTAATTTTTCTCTTAAATAATGTTTTGAAGATGAGAACACCAGAAACTCCCAACTCTGGAAACTACTCGTCTATTAATATTCTACTAAGTATTTATGTCGCCTCACTCAAATTCATCATTAAATTCAAAACAAACATTAATGGCTACTGGCTTCAACACAATCCTGTGGGACTCCTGCTTGTGTGTTTACTCACATTAATTAAGAGAAAAATTAGATGGTAAATTATGTAGCATAAATACTTTGCAAATCTGTAAACAATGATAGTTTTAAATTTCATAATAATGCAACAACGAAACAGTCTGTTATCTGGCTAGTTTCTCAGAGCCAAACTTGAAGTCTCTATGTTTATAGTCTTAGGACTAAGATAAGCCAGCAAGCTGCCGGCTGAATGCATCAGTAATTGGAACATTTAACCATGGATGCAAATGAAGGTATTTTACAAAATGTCAGACCTTTCTGTCAACATAATGTAAATAAAAATCAGTTTGTTTTGCGCGTGTTGCACATGAGTGCAACATGCATATGTGTATAAGCTTAAATCTCCTGTTTGTGTGTGTGTGTCTATCTGTGTGTGTGTCTTAAGTAAAGTTGGAGTTGTGATAGGGAGGGCCTCCTCCTCCTCCGAGTAGCATAGCGCTCACATTTCCCATGAGCCTTTGAGGGAGGAGTGTTGGATGCTAACTTGGCTCGCGATGCAGCTCACTTCTGGCTTCAATTTATTCCTGGAGGCACACACACACACACACACACACACACACACACACACACACACACACACACACACACACACACACACACACACACACACACACACACA